AACGGGTACACAGACGCACATCCTGCCCACCTGGGCCCCGTCTGGGAACCTGTCAGCACCTGTCCATCACCTATTCTCTTGCATGACAGCCCACCCTCCCTTCTGTTGCCATCTCCATCATCCAAACCCAGCACCTATGACTCGCAAGCATGAGAACAGTGGGGTGAGTCAACCCTGCGTCAGGAGCACAGAGCTTCTGGCAAAGCGCGTGACTCAGAGGGTGAGGCAGGCGCTGGAGAACATAGCCCACGGCTGCCGCTACTTGTGTCAATAGGAAGAGGCCTGTGGAGGCCTTACACGCACCCTCCGCTTCCAGGCAAACTCTGTTCTTCGTGCAGTAGGCTTATGGGAACCAGGAGGGAACCAGTTCGAACCCAGTTTTGATTACCTGCCATAATAACGAGGACTTACAATAAGAGTTTTACTGCCTGAACTTACTAGTTCTCACCTGGTTATGTATGGGAGTTGGGAGATTATCAGCCCCATTTGATAAAGGACAGGGCTGGCCAGGGCCAGGGGTAGGGTTTGAAGTCAGGTGAGTCTCACACCTGGTTTGGACTTCCTCCTTGTCTGGAGACTGACAGGGAAGGACTAGATTTTTTTTTTTTAAGATTTATTTTTATGCATGCAAGAGCTGGGGTACAGGTCAGAGATGTGGGGGGGTGAGAGGATCCACCAGAGACAGAGTGGGGAGCAGAACAGGCAGACTGACTGAAACACACTGCTGAGGGGAGAAGCAGGCGAGAGAGGAGAGGTCTGCTGCGCCATGTGAGTTGCTCCCTGGCCGGCCAGGGATCAAACTCATACTGCAGAGGCTGTGGATTGCTTCATAGTGTGGTGCTTAATCCCCTGTGCCACCAGGGAGGCCCAGGGTCTAGATTTCCTTGGAAGTGGCCACCAAACTTCCCTCAGCAGGGCTTTCCAAGGGACAAGGCCTTTGGGCACTGACTGTGTTTTCCTAATAGGTCCATGGCCTATTTGAAGGCATTTCCATTCAGATAAACCCATGACTTGTCATCATGGTGCCCTCTTCAATTTCCTTAAATAGACAGATTCCAGCACCAGAAATCAGGGCACAGGGAGCAAACAAAATGGTGCCCCAACTGTGTTTATCCTGTGATGAGACAAGTTGGGGCAAGGAAGCCCCTGAGACTGATGGAGAAGGAGGTCATTCCACACCCTTTCTCCTCCTGCACCCTTGTTGGGTCCCTCTGGCCTTTGAAGTGATAGGATGTTCACTATTCTATGGGAAGCAGACAAATCTTTCAGAAATTCAGCCATGGCTTCCCACCTCAATTCCCCTAGACTTTAACACAAGTAACAAAGTATCCTTACAACAAACATTTGGTATATATTTATTGTAGAGAATTCCATTGTCCTTGTCCTGATGTGCTGTCAAAAGGTACTGTCCATTCTGGTCATATCCAGGGCAAGGACATCACTGACTCATGCAAGTTGCTATTCTCTGGTTGTTCTCAGTAGTGAAATTTGTCTACCTGTTTGTCACTGAAGCCTTGACCAATACCTTGGAGTTGGTTATAAATGACTGAACCTGCAGGTTCAGAAGAAAGATGTTCATCTAGAAAAATAAATAAACCTACTTTTTAAAATAACTTATTCTGGGCCTCCCCTGGTGGCGCAGGCAGTTGAGCGCCACGCTGTGAAGCTGTGCGCAGCTTCTGCAGTGCTGGTTCGATCCCGGCCGACCGGCGAGGGTCCCACATGGTGAGCAGACCTCTCCTGTCTCGCCCACTGCTCCCCTCAGCAGTGTATTTCGTCAGTCTGCCTGTTCTGTTCCCCGCTCTGTCTCCAGTGAATCCTCTCACCCTCCTGCACATCTGGCCTGTACCCCGGTTTTTGTATAAATAAATCTTTAAAAAAATAAAATAACTTATTTTAACATGAAACTAGAATAGACAACAAATGCATGGTGGGCTAAGCTTTGTGGCTGTGAGCTGTGTTTTCAATAGAGTATGTGTCCCTTTGAAATGGCACCTTGGTTAATTGGGCCCGATCCATCATATTTGGGGACACAGTGCTACATATAAAAGCTGCTCTTTTGTGCACAATGGCTTGTCTGCTCTTGTATCTCCCAACTGCTTTCTTCTTAACCCCCTGCACAAAAGTAGCACAGCATCAGTCCAATCCCAGCCAGTGAAGAGACAGGCTGGGGGCTCAGCACAAAAGCCTCAGGGAGCTGTCAGCCCTCATCAGCCTCACCAGTACGCTGGCTCGGGTGCAATAACAAACCTCGATGTCCTTTCAGATTTGAATGTAAAAACAGACCAATACCTTGCACACACTGTGCTAAATTTTCTAGACAGGCATATAGTATTACTGTCTGTAACTTTCCATGAGCCTCCTCGGGTTACCATACATATTAATACACACAATGGCATGTGAGGAAAGGAAAATTCCGGGTGTTGGTGATGATTGTTAATTGAATTCATCTGGGAATTTTAAATTCTGAAAATTTAGTCCTTGCTTACAGTATTTTAAAGTTATGACCAGCATACGATTTTGTCCTTTGAATGGCAACTCTCCTGTTTCCCTTTAAGAGCAAGTTTCTTCAGTATGTAATGCAGTGCAGAGCCAGTTGTAAAAATTAGTCAATCACAAAACCATGGAATGGGACAGTGTGACAATGTTTGACCTTTTGCGTTCCTTTGATGTCTGTGAAGACAAATAGTCTTTACAGTTTCCTTCTTGGAAAAGTAGAGCAAATGTGTCTGTAAAGATAATTCTTGAGCCCCAGCTCAGTTGGTGCAGATAAAGGTAAGCCAAGAGCAATATGGGGAGTTGAATGGGAAATTCTGTGAGCATCTGAAACTAGATCTCATGTCTCTGACTCTTGGCAAGCCACACTGACAACCAGTGTTTCTGTCAGAAGGTAACACACTGCCATTTCTGCCACAGGATGTTCCTTTCCCAGCTGACACGAAAAGTCCCCAGTCTGCTGTCTAAAGACCTGTAGGATCTCCCAGGCCCTGGCAGGACAAGTATCAGATAGCCCAGCTCTCCTTCTAACTAATCAGATTGGAATTGGTTCTCACAGAGAAACCCAATAAGTCTCGAGCAGGAATCATGGAAACACTTGGTTGAGTCTCTACCTTCCGAGATTCCTAGATCATCTCTCCCCATTAACTCTCTGTATCCTTAGTGTGTGTAAGCAGGGCTCAGATTATGCCCTTCACAAGGAACCACGTGCATGTCTCCATCACATGGTGGACAAGGACTGTGTAGGCAGGCATGGAGACTCGGCCTCCCAGCTGAGCCAAAGCATGGACAAGTGTTAGTACACGGGCTCAGGCACACTCAGGAGAGCAGCATAAACCTGTTGGCTGCCACACACAAATGCAGGCTGCTGCTCCCTGACCAAGCACACTCTTGGCATACTTTGACTCTTGTCTCTCACCTGCCAGCATGGTCAGAGTCTCGATCCCCTGCCACAGGCCTCAGACCTGACATAGTCACTTCACTCTGGGCAGTGAAGGGGGAGCATGGCATGAGCCTGTTGCAGGCCACATATGCACCAGGGCCTCTAGCAGGTGCAGGAGGGCTCACCGCCAGGGCTGCTACATCTAGACTCTGGGAAGTTCCCAGGGGTCAAGGTGTATAATACACTTTTTTTTTTGGGGGGTGAGAACAAAGGCTTTTTTTCTCCCCTAATTCATAGTCCTAAGAGTTCTACTTCCCCACCCTTACTATTCAGTAGCCCCTGCTCAGGCCCTCCTCCTCATGGGGCCCGCCTCCTCACGGATACTCTAAAGCTGCTCCCTCCTATATTCTCAGACTGTCTGTTTTTGTTACGCTTTGCTCCCTTGCTACCTTTGAACGTGGTCTCTCTTCTTGATCTTAATCAAACCTCCAAGTTTCACAGGCTGTGGATGGAGAGTTTGGACAGATGACCTTGTTTGAAGGCGGGAATCCCAGGTGACCACTCATAAGGGGTACACTCATGCTTCCAGCCTATAGCTCTTTCCATGCCCCACACCTTCTACTGCCACCGGGGTCCCTTGAACGGTCACCATCATGACACACAGCTGATTGGACCTTCCCTGCCCCCCAGCCTACAGGAAACTTCTGAGTATGTGCCAAACACCAACAACCTACCACATCAGCGCCATCTCCCTAACTATCAGGGTTAGCAAGGTTCTCTCTCTGGGATAAGGCCAAAAGAGATGAGGAAAAACATCCCCCCTGAAGGTGGGGGACACATACTGCACCTCTGAGGGAAGAACTTGTAGCTGGCAGTTCGCATATGGTGCCTGGGGCAGAAAGGTTGGTGCTGCAGTCCCCCAAGGGGATGCATTTGTATTCTGACCTCATTGTGTGGCAGGCACCTGGCCCTCCTCCCCAGGCATCTGCAGTAGCTGCCTTTTTGAGAAGATGAAGTACAAGGGAGTCACCTCTGGGACCCCATGACTCCCACTGGGCACCAGATCTGCACCCATGTTTTCCCTCTGTGAAATGATGCCCCTCCCAACTTTAGGACTCTATAATTCTATAAGACCACCCCGAATCTGAACTAGGCAGCAGGCAGCAGGTATGACCATAGCGGGACAGAAAGGGAAGCCTTGAGAGGAGGCAACTTTCCTTAGGCCGCTAGGTTGCACTTGAGGTTTTCTTGCATTCAAACTATCTGATCTGGGCTGAGATTCTAAAAGGTATGCACAATGCCTCAGGCTTTAGGGGATTGCACAGCCTCATGTACCAGGTTCTCAGTCAATGTCCCTGGTACCAACTTGTTCCCTTTCAAGGCCGCAGAGCCATACAAATGGTAACTGGATCTAACCTCTGTGTTTCTGATACGAAGTACATGGAGGTATAATCTGACTGCATCAGTCAGTCAGGAATATAGAAACTGGAGAATCTTGGTAGAAATGAGGCAGTTGAGGCACATGAGAGTCAGTTCCCTCCTGCCCAAGGTCTAAAGTCTGGGTCACCCTAGACAGGTGCGTGTGCCTTGGGCTATCAGCAAAGGGGTAAGGACAACTCACGTGGTTCCTTTTGCCTTCTTCGTCTCCCACGGATGTAATGACTGTCTCTGAAAAGACCATTTGTCCAGTCTGGTTGTTGGTGACCTATTGTAGAGCAAGAAGGGTAAATGAGAAATAAAAGGAATTAGGAGGAAATCACACAAGTTTTGTTTAATTTAATTTTTGAAACCTGGGTTATCCAGCAAAGTGAAAGGAATGCCTGCTCCCTCCTCGCTGAGTCCCACCAGCAGCACTCTGATGGGCAGCACCCCTCCATGTGGTGAGAGGAGAGACTATGGAGTCCCCAGTGGGTAGCTATGGAGGACAAGGTGGTGCATAGAAAACCCTCAGCACAGAGCCTGCCACCTAGCAAAAACTCACCATTAGCTATTTTTATCATTTTTCAGCTCATCATGTGAAACCCATTGTCAACTTTCTTTTCCATGATGACAGGTCTGGGAGTCTAGGCGCATGTCTTTCATGAGAAGCAAGCAGTTTTAGTGACAGTCCTGATTCTAGTGGATTTTGTTTCATCAAGTGCTTGAATCCAGTGGGAGATTTGGTCCAACAATCCTCTATCTCTTCTCTGCCTCCGATTCTGTAATCAGGAGCAGGTGTCTCAAAGCTGAGCCTGAGAATTCAGACACAGTACCCAGGTTGTTCATGAGCCCCATCAGAGGTGAAAACATGTGGACTGATGCAGAACAGAAAGGACTGTGGTTCAGAGCTGTGTTCTTTGAGCCTTAGCTGCAAACAGTCATCTAGGATGTAATCTGGAACAGTTCATTTCTTTTCTCTGATTCATAATTTCCTCACTTGTAGGTCATCTTTAAAAGTTCCTGACAACTCTAGTATCTCAGGAACCTACACCCAGACATTTGCAACCATGGATCAACCATGGATCTCAGCCTCATTTGCAACCATGGATCACGACCCAGTTCTGAGGCAGTAAGGATCACATCTTCATCAACATAATTAAAATTTTTATCTATATAATTCATCTCCTCAGCACAGCACAGAGATATTGTTTCAATCCTCTATACCATATTTTTATAGGATTAACCAATGCTATATTTAAAAGAACTCTAAAGTATTATACATACTCTTTGCAGACCTTCTCAGAGCCTTTACCATACTAATGTACACCTTTATATCTCTAGGAGGACAAATAGATGCAAAGTTTTCAAATATATTTCATCACTCCAAGTGCTCCATGGAACCCACTTGAAAACTACTGTGCTGAGCTGCTAATGTAATGTTATTACAGCAAAGTAGTAATAAGATCAACTTGCTTCTGCACAGCACTTTTTAGTTGAGAATAAACTCTCATATACTCTAGATCATTTGACCCTCATAAGACGGTAGTGTAGATGTTGCTAACCCTACTTCATAATATGGTTAGTGAGGGTCATACATTTAAATAATTTTGCAAAATCACACTCACTACTGGTAGGATGCACATTTGGTATTCCGACACCTTTGAGGAGCAACTGTGAGCAGCAGCCAAACCTGCTGGCTAATTCTTGTCAGAAAAGATGACTTAATATTGGTTTTGACAAGAATAAGAAAATCACTTCTGAAACAATCTCAGTCTTCAGATCAATAACACCAGGGTGTTCTGTTCAGCAGGTGACTCACTCATTTACCCCGGGGAGGGTGGATGGGTAGAGAAGAGAGCCTCTGAAGCTGGGCCCATCAGCATGCACTGGGAGAAAGGCCACGCAAAGGCTATTTCTCCTCAAGGTGATGGTTCATGAAAATTGGCAGGCGTAGACGTGCTATTACTCCAGTCAGCTCATTACGTGAGTGCTGGACTGACAGGAAGCCTCGTAGGTGAGAGCTGCCATGGCCTTGCATACAGGAGCTGAGACGAGACCAGCGGTCAAGCTCCTTTGTGCTCACAATAGAATGTCAACACTATAGCCCTTCGTGAACACGTGCACAGCAGATTCACTTTGAGAAAACACAGAAACTTCCATGGTTTGCTCTCAAAATGGTGCCAAAATTCCACTGGAGAAAACTCATAGTCAGGAAGGTTAAGGCTCTGTTTCTTTAGATTTGCCATGTTTTCTTCCTCAACTCAGATTAGGGACAAACATGCTTGCTTCTCATGCAAGATACTAGACTGAGAGACACCTAGAGATGTTGTAGGGCAGGAAAAACTTTGCTACAGAAGTTTGAATGGAAAACCAGAAAAAGAATGAATGTTTCCTCTGTGACAATAGAGGCTATCCCTTCTGAAAATGTCACATTTGAGTTCCTTTTAAGGGCCAGTGAAGATCTATTTATGTAACACGGTGTGTATTTCAACACTCCATGGAAGCACACATGAAACTTGGAGATGAATCTCCCAAATTCAATACCAGGAAAGGATCTCTTTAGATATTGGTTTGCTTCCTTATTTCCAAGTGATAAAAATCCCTCAACATTCCTTTGCAATTGGCCTGGCAGAAAGCTTGGAGTTCAATTTATTGCTAAATTACAAAAGCAATTTAGGTTTTTGATACACATCTTTTCCCTTTAAACAGTTCCCTCACATCCTTTGGCTTTTACCATCCTCATCTGTGCTTTGGCTTGTGTATCAAACATGTAAATAAGTCCTTAGTTCGCTAGTGGGGCTGGGCGCTACAGAAAGGAGGACATGCCAACCAGGACCGCCCTTACCTTGTGAATTTCTTGGTGTACGTGGATGGTATTATTTCCAACTTTCGTCTCCGTGTTGGTCTCATTGTGATAGCTGGGAGGTAAGTTTGCCAGGTTCACTTCCGATGATGTTTTGGCAGCAGCTTCTTCTGCCTCCATCTATTAAATCAATGAACTTAATGAGTAAAATAGTTTTCTCTTAACATAAATCAGAGTCCATTGGAAATAAGAACCACTTCTCTTTTCTTCTGCAATGACAAATAATAATGGTAAAGTTAGGTATTCTTCATTGAGCACTCCCTTGGACAAAACATTGTACTAAATATTTTACATACATGATAGCCTCTGATCGCAAACCTCCCTCTGAGTGTTGAAGGTTCCCATTCTACAAAAGGGCAAACTGCTTCAGAGAGATGGGATAATAACCCAAGACTCTCAGGGAAGGGCAGAGTTAGGATCTGAATGCCTTCCCATTGAATAATCTTGGCCCCCATACAAATGCTGATAGGGTCACGCCCATCTCCCTATGGACTAATTCCTAGTCATCTGCATTCAGTTCCCTTACAAGCCAGCAGCCAACTCTCTCTCTCTGATGGTATTTTCTTTTTTTAAAGATTTGTTTTATTTCTTTATGCATACAAGAACTGGAGTGTAGGCCAGTGGTGGGGGGACAAAAGAATTCACCAGAGACAGAGTGGGGAGCAGAACAGATGGAGCTACTGAAATACGCTGCTGAGGGGAGCAGCGGGTAAGACAGGAGAGGTCTGCTGCACCATGTAGGTTAGCTCCCTGGCCAGGGATTAAACTCTTGCCCCAGTGGCTGGCATAGCTTAATAGCGCTGACTTTAACCCTTGTGCCAGGGAGGTCCTCTGAGGGTATTTTCTAGCTGCAAAAAGATGCTCAGTCTGTACAGGTCTCAAGTGCTAGGGAGTTAACATACCAGGGACAATCCCTGAATACTGAAGGACTGGGTGTGGGGGTAAGCTTCCTCTCCCCTCAATGGGACGGTCTCTCTGAGGATCCCCAGAGGGTCCTAGTTGCCCCTAGAAGTAACGTGCTCATCAGTACAGCCTTTTTTGCCTTGTTCCTGGTCCATCTCACTTCCTCCTAGTGTTTCTGGGAACAATTCCCAAATAATCAATTTGTTCCAAATCTGTGTCACAGGGTCTGGGGTGGGGGGTGGGGCACCCAAACTAAGCCTTAAGACTAAGGCTGTCTTAGTTTCCTGTGTCCTTGCAGGTTAAGGACACAGCTATGTCTTCCCTACCCTACCTCTTGGGTATAAGAGGGACCTTTGTACTGTAGAAAGACACTGGACTAGTTTCTGGGGACCCCTTCTTCTGGCTCTTCTTGCATATGTGTCCTTCTCTGGTGTCAGGCTTTGGAGGCTACTATCCACAAATCCTCCAGTCTCTTGAGCCTCCATGACATCTTTACCAGACAGTCAGCATGTCTACACCCAGTTTCCCCTGTCAGATTTTTCACCCCACCCTGCTCTCGATGAGCAGGCAGTTAGCAACATGAACCACTCACAGCTCTCTGGACTCAAAAGGAGGTCACATCATGGCCTGCTTGAGCCAATAAGGTACTCTCTCTAGGAATTTAAAATGAGAAGCATGAAAAAAAGTTCTGGCTGGTGGCTAGCAATTTTCTAATAATGTGTCTTTGACTGGACTATTTTTATTTCTTAAGACTAATCCTCAAAAAGATTTTCCCATGAAAAATAATCACTGTCTTCTGTCCCCTTACAAATTAGATGAGGCCCCTTCTTTTCTGCCTCTTCCAACCAGTTTGGGGAAAGAATTCCCATGTTTTAATGTAGAACTTAAAACACTCACTCAGAAGTATGAAGAAAGCCTGGTAGGCACAAAGGTTCAAATAATCAACTGAGGACTTGGTCAGTGACTATTGTGTTTGACCCTGAGACAATTGCTGCAATATATAAAACTTGATCACTGGCTTGATAATAACAACAGTAATAATAACAACAATAACAGTAGCCCCCATGTTGGGCATCAGCTGTGTCTGAGCCCTTACACCAAAACCTTCCATGTCTCCTAGAATGTTCACAGCACCCCAGTAGAGGAAGGTGTTATGACCTCCTTTTGCAGATGAAGCAAAGGAGACTGTGAAAGGTGAAGGGACCTGCCTGAGGTCACCACGCTATTAGTACATGGCAAAGCTGGGATTAGAATTCAGGTCAGTCTAACTCCAAATTATGAGCTCTCTGCTTCCCCATGGGATTCTGCACCCCTGGAGCAGCCTATGCTTTCACTGGGGTGGGGGACAGGAAAGTCCCACACAAACCATTTTCAGGATGATTATGACCCTCTCTAGAAGCAAGTCTGGGCTCCACAGAACAGACAAGAAAGGTTTTCAGAAGGAGGAGGTGGCAGGATGGGGCTGGTCTCAGAGAATGTGGTGTATATCAGTAGACAGGAGAGCAGAGAGGACAGTCATGGCAGCCTGGACAAGAATGGGAGTGCATTGTAGGCTGGGGCAGAGGGTGCATGCAGGGCACCAGAGGCAGTGATCAGAAGAACTGAATGTGCCTGTCAGGAGAAGGATCACCGAGCAGGTTCAGGGGGGCCATTCTAAAGCAGAGGGTACTGGCCCGGTTCTCAGCCAGGAGAGTACAGCAGAGTCACACACACCCAAAATATTTTAAAAATTAAAAAAAAATCTATTATCTCTCTCTCTATCCCTATACCTATATGCATACATCTCTATCTGTAGCTATCTCTATGGCTGTATTTATTACCATATCATCTGAATCCCTGCCCAGACCTGCCAAGCTAGAATTTCTGGGGGTGGGACCTGATATCCATGAACCTCTCAGGTGATTCTGAGGTATTCCCTTTCCACCATTTGCTCCAAGAACATCTGCTGCATGGACTGGAGAGAGCAGCATATTCTGAAGACTAGCTGGGAAATACAGTTGACCCTCGAGTACAGTGGGAACAGCAAGGGTCCACTTACAGCAGATCTTTTTTAGCCTCAGTTCTGCACCCACAGATTCAACCAACCCCAAAGCTGACTGGTTAAATCCTTAGCTGTATGGGGAGGCCAGCCATAGGTTGGAAGTGGAATTTTGAAAGCAATGAGGGTCTGCACCCCTCACCCCATGTTGTTCAAGGCCCAACTGTAATGTAGGGTCTAAAGAATGAAGCGAGCAGGGGACTGGGCTGAATCAGATCTACAAATAGAAATTATATCTGGGGAGGGGCCTTCCAATGAGAATCACTCCTCATATCTCTGTGCGCTGGCCACTGCATTAGGCAAGAGGTTGCCCAGCTTGTCTGCACTGTACAAAGTGCCAGGTTTCTGGAGTCAGGTGAGGTGGGGCAAGTCCTGGATCTGGCATGAAGCAGACGTGGAACCAAGGGCAAGAGACTGTATGTGTCTAAACTTCAGCCTCTTGTTTGTCAGGTGGGAATGATCCTACTTTGTTCAAAGGATCATGAAATCGAACTGCTCGGTACGGTTCCTGCCACCCAGCAAATATGTAATATATTGCTATTTCATAATATTGTCCCTTAAGAGAGCAGTTTTAGAAGTACTGGCTTGCCAGGGAATGTTTGGGTACTCGTGGAAGGAGCAGATAGTAGATGTCATGTGTTTGAAGAGTTTGCCAAAAAATGGAGAAGAAATGGAAGGGAGCTGGGATAGGAGGCAGGAAGGGCAAGGAACATTTTTGTGTTGTTTGTTTTTTGGTAAGCAAGAGATCCTGGTGTGTTTCGTGATAGGAAATACACAGCTGGGAAAGTGTAGGAGATTGGTGATGCTAGAAGAAGGGAATCTTCTAATGCTTTTTAAATTCCCATCAGAGTCTAAATCTTCCACTTTGGCATTTAAATAGCAATAGACAAATCATCCAGTCTAGAGTTTGCTTTGCTTTGAGCAGATAGCCTTTTTCTAGAGCCTTGTCCCTCTCAGCCAGTAGTTATTTCAGTAGGCTGAGCTAATTTCTTTAATGGCACCATGGACTAGAAGTGCAGTTTACAATGGAAATTTCAACCACAACTATTACTTTCACTAGCAAGAGAAACTTAAGCCTGAAGCCATAGGAGTTATTTCATAGAGGAGGAATGTGAATGTTTAAAAATGGCATTTATGGTTGGTTGGATCTGTGGGTCTATTAAAGGGGCATGGTAGGAGAAAATGGAGAAATAAATCCAGGCTTGGTATTGGGGTTCTTCTTAGGAACAGGTGAGAGGATAAGAACATTCTAAAACAGGCCAGCTACAGATGTGGCAATGAGTGGGTGTGGAGAGGGGAGGGAGGGAAGGAAGTAGTTTTTTCCTTAAAATACATTGTCTGTAACGTATAGAATCATAAAACCAAATTGAACCATTTAAAGATTTACTTCCCCCAATAATGGCCCAAGTAGAGTTAACTTTGTCTTTTTTCCTGAAGCAAAATCAACAGCTTAAATCAGCTGGAATATTTAAAATGTCAGGAAGTTGCTTGAAAGCAGATTCATGATGCAACTATGTAAACAAGCAACGCATCTGGCCTTGTGATTTTTGGGCTTTCCCTGGGACAGCAAGTACATAGCGACTATCTGTGTTTGTGAGATTGAAGGAGTGCTCGGCTTCTAAAAAAATTAATACTATTAGTCACAATCCATTGAGACTCTCTATAGGAGACACTAGTGGTTCTTTGTTATTATTGATACTGCTATTATTAATATTATGATCATGATAATCATTATTTTTTATTATATAATGTCCTGTATTCCTCAGAATCCCCTCCTAAGGGGAAGACTTGCATTACACCTATTTTACAACATCATTTTAGGTGACCAGGTAACATGCTATGTTTGCATCCTCTCATTTCATGCTCCTCTTCACCCTAAGGGTAGATGTTTTTCCATTTCCAACCCTGAATCCCACCAACAGAAAGTGGCAGGACTGGGGTGGGAGGAAGGAAAGTTGGCCCCAAGCAAGGATCTCTCTCAACCTGCTCCCACGCCCTGAGAGGAGACTCTCTGGGAAACAACTACTGGGCAGCGCAGAGTTGACTGTCAACCTCTCCCTGGGGGCCAACTTCAGCCAGTCTACCTGCACAAGCCAGGCAGAGTTCCACTTGGAGGGAGGAAGCCGGGCACAGCCAAACTGGACACCTGTACTCCAGGGAGGACACTGCTGCGTGGGTCCCACTGAGCCCTAAACTGCTCTGACCAGAGAAGCCTGAGGAGTTCCCTGCTACTCCCCCATCCCGCTCTCCAGGAGCTACCCTCAGCGCCCCACGCTGCCTGGGCACAGTCCCACTGAATGAAACATGGCAGCTACCTTGCCAGTCTCCCTGGGAATCCCGGAGGCAACACTGAGGTGCCCAGATAAGGAAGGCAGATAACCTGCCCTGGAAACAGAAGGGTCACAAGCACAGTTTCTTTTGAAGAGGTAAAGTTAAGAGGCCTTGGGGCCTGTCTGACTCCTCTCCTCCTTTAATTGTTGCATATCGTGATTCTTGTGCTGTCTCGAGGATGTCCAGGTATAGGCAGCCGTACAACCGCCTCCTATCCCAGCGTGTCTTTCACTGCTAACTCCATCAGCTCAACTGTTGTTGGCAGGGAGGGGAAATAGCCTCAAAATACACAGACTAGAGCCAGCACTGGAGGCTTTGCCCAAAGGGGCTTTCAAGTTGACAGAGACGTGGAGATGGCTCATCTACAGGCCTTTCGTTGACTCCTTCGCTGGCACAGCTGGCTTCTCTCCAAAGACAGGGTGTAGCTAGAGCTGGTTTCAACCATCATCATGCCCACCCACCCCAGGGACCAGGGATAGTGCCACATCTGGACTGAGGGAGCTGAGCCAGCTTCACCTCCTGCCAGGCATCCCTGGCAATGTTTAGGTGGGCACCACTGAGGACAGAACAGGATTCATCCACAACGCCTGGACTTGGAGGTGATGGGATAAAGCAGCTGTGCAAAGCTATGCAAGGTATCTGGTATTTGATAATAATAGCTGCTATCTACCACACACCTATTTTACATCAGGTACTCAAAGCATTTAATTCTCACAGGAAACTGAGTTACAAGATGTTAAGGGATTTCCCCAATGTCGCTATGACTGTGAGTGGCAGGGGAGGACTTTGAACCCGGACTGACTCCAGAGTACTCTAGGAATGAAGATGGGACAGCCGCTCAGGTTGGCCCCTCCGCCTCTCACTCACCACTCTGATCATTCTCCCTGGGATTCGGGATTCTGATTTGCCTTCTCTGCTTCCACATGGAATTTGGGAAGCCCTCACAGACTGCTAGCAAAGTTCAAGGTTCTTTGTCTCTTTGTCCCCATGCAGCAGGCATCCTAACTCTATCTTGGGAGGATGGCACAAGTTCAAAGTCCAAGGAACAAGCTAGAACTTGAGCTGCCTGAAGTTTCCTGTGCTTCTTAGCAAAACTGCTGGCAAACCAGAGGCCTTGCAAGCATCCCTTACACTACGGGAAGGCTAATGCACACTTGCAGGTGGTTGTAGGGTGTGGTGGGCAGCCTGCAAGGCAGGTGGTGACTCTGGTTGGTGGTGGACAGGCTCAGATCCAGTTTGGCAGGAAGACAGAACCATGTGCGAGTGGGGATCACCCTGAGCTGCCTCCAGATCACTCCCATGCTGCCCGAGGACGCTGGCCAGCGCTTGGAGCCGGGGTTCCCTCCAGCCTCCCTAGTCCCCAGTCTCGCGCTTCCAGGGCCCCCAGGGCTCACCAACCTCCTCCACGGCACTGCGCAGTTTGTGCTGCGTGTCCTCCATCAGTTCCTCAACCTCGCGGAACATCTCGTTGAGGGTGGCCTCCTCCTGCGGGTAGCTGAGAGCCGGGCCAGGCCCGATAGGAGCCGAGGTCGTCGTGGGAGCCGGCGCAGGGGCCGTGGGGACCGCCGCGGCCAGCAGCAGGCACAGCAGGGTGCCCCGGAGTCGCTGCATCGCTGCTCTGCGCCCTCCGCCGCCTGCGTCCGGGAACGCGGTCAGAGGCGCGCAGACCACCCCCTGCCTGCCCAGCGGACCAGCCCTGGGTATGAAGCGCCCCTCCGCGCGGAGCCCCTCCTCCCCGCACCCACCCCTGGTTGAGAAGAAATACAATCCCCTCTGGACTCAGCAGCTCCTCCAGACTGAGCAGCACCCCCTCGCTGCGTCCCGCGGGTACCGACCCCCTCGGAAGCCCCACCCTTAGCCTGGAGCACAGGCCGAGCTCCACCACGGTCCCCTCATTGGAGCAAAGGACCCGCCTACGCTAATAATGCGCACCCCCCACCACCTCTGCTCAGTCCCAGGTTCGAGCCTGCCCCCTCCTCCACCAGATCAGAGTGCAGCCTGATCCTGCCCAGCCCCAACCCTATCCCAGCCCCCAACCCGGCGCCGGAGCGCAGGCCCGCACCCTCCCCTCGGATGGGAACCCAGTGCGCCTCCGGCCCCTCACCCATTAGCTGAGCCAACCCCCAACCCCGCAGCCACCCTCCCCGTCTGCCGAGCTGCCCCGGGGCTGGACCTGCCTGCTGGGCTTGGTCTGGAGGCCGCCTTCGGGCTGCGGGAGCTGGCGCGGGCCGCGGGAGCTGGGAGCACGGATGCCGCAGCGCTGGTACCCGGCGATCCCGCAGCGCGCCCCGCCCGCCCCGCTAGCCAGGCCCCGCCCCGCGGGAGGGGCTGAGCCCCAGCCGCCGCCATTGGCCGGCTTGGCCAGCGGCGATCTCACGCCCCAGACCTGCCTCGCTGCCTCCCCAGCGACTCCACAGGAAGCCGGCCCCGTCCCTGCACCCCGCTCCTCCAGGCGCACGGTCCATTGTCATCTCTGGCCTGGATTCTTGCAACCGTTTGCGGGAGGGGAGAGGGTCTTCCCGCACCCCACCTTCCTCTCTCCAAGCCATGCTGCACCCAGCATGTAGTCCTGCAGGATAAAACCCCAGCCCTTCGCCTGCCATCCAGGCCTGTCGCTGGGTGGGCTTGATGTACCCGCCGTGGCTGATGCACTCCAGCCATGAAAACTCACTTGTGGCTCCTGGAACAAGACCCTGGAATGGCAGGCAACAAGCTCCTGGAGGGCGGCTCAGCAGAGTGGTTAAGGCCAGACAGTCACACCCAGACTGCCTGGTGCGATCCCAGCTCTGCTCCTTAGCCCTTTGCCAATCTGGCCAATTTAGCAGATTTGTCTGCGTCCCAGCTATTCCAAGCGTGACACGGAGGCTGCCGTAGTAAGCCCCCTGCACGGGAGGGCAGTGGCTGCCTGTGCAACGCGTCAGCTGTAATGACAGTGGAGTTCTGTCCTGTCCACAGCAGTCTCCCAGTACCTAGAATGGGGCACTCACTGTTTTTTTTTTTTTAAACATTTTTAAAAATAAGTGCATGTCTAGAACAGAGAGTACTCATACAGTTTCTGAATAAATGAGTGTTTTTTGGGTCCTCCTATTTCCTCACATTACTCTTTCTGTCGTGACCATCCCTCCTCCTCTCTGCCTGGCTCACTCCTCCCAACCTATCCCTAGTCTCCCCCTTCTGTCCTCTAGGTCACCTGACTTCCCACCATCTGCCTGGTGACCCACCGCTTCATCCCCAGAGAATGGAGATCGTGGGAGGCAGGGTCTGACTTGTTCATCTTTGTGTCCTGAGACCTCAGTTATAATAAACATTTGGTCCCTAAGAAATGGAAGGACTGATCATTATATCAATAGCTATTGATATAACCAGGTATCCACACCCTTACTGAGCACTCACTGTATACCAGGAATAAGCACTGTGAATTCTTGAACGACATCTGACAGTGGGGCTAGTTTTATTTCCCTTTTACACATAAGTAGACTTGGCTAAGATCCATAGCTAGTAAGTGGGATTTGAACCTAGGAATCTAGCACCAGAGCCTTCCCCCTTCACTGCCCAGCTCCTCTACTATATATCTGACTGGGGCATGTGGGAGCTGAGTTGGGAGTAGGGGACAATGGTTTCTGTAGGTGACCACTGAGAAAACATGTTTGGGGAGGGAGTGCAGGATATGCCGCACCAAGACATTCTGCTTAGGCAGATTGATTATTTTGAGCTGAAGGCACTTGAAGGCAGCAGATTCGAGAAGGGCTTTGCAATCTCCCCTTTTCTACCTTAAAACAGACCATAAAATGTCCCATGGGAGAGATGCCTTCCCTGGAAGAGAAGAGTATCCTTATCACCAGATACTGGAAGGAATGCCAAAGGGATCTGTGCAAACACACTTACTAAGATAACCCTTATCTCCCGCCAGTGTCCACCCCCACTCCCACATCTCTCTCAGGCACGTCCTCGTAATTTATTGTCCCTAGCCCAACCTCCTTGCCTTGCCCCTTCTTCACAATTTATCTTTTGTCTAAAAGGTTTATTAGCTTTTTGTCTTGGTCACTTCCTCAGATATTTATTTTCTGGTGAAGGCACCCACGTACATGTAAAATGTTAATAAAATATGTGTGCTCCTCTCTTCTTCAATTTGTGTTATGTTAGTTTAATTCTCAGGCCCAGCTAGAGACCCTAGGAGGGTGGAGGAAAAAGTTGTTCCTTCCCTACAGGAACCATGGCCATGGCCACTTTGTTACGTTCATACATCCGAGTCCACTGCAGAATGTCCATCAGAATCATAACTGGGGCTTTCTTGACATTGACACTGTGCCTACCTCGACTCTGTATGGGAGGGCTTAGAGACTCAGGGAAGTTAGGCCATCTGCCCAGAGCCAGCCAGCAGGGATGGGGCCTCCTGGAAGTAGACTTTGTGCTCTGATGCTCTCTGTGACTGCTTTTCTTTGCAAAACTCTCTGATCACTGTTAACTATCGTGACATGGCTTCTAACCATGTTCTTTTCAACTTTTGGGCTTCTGGGCAGGGGCCTTCTGAGAATCCAGGGAGAGCCCTCTCTTTGCCAGCACCCCCTGGATAGTTGCTAAGCCTGACTCAGCTATTCACCAGTTTTGGGGGATGATTGAGCCCATGCAAGGAACCTGGAGCTGACTCTCCAGATAACGCCCTTGCCACTTCAGGCACCTCATTAGGAAGACGCTAAAGCAGAGCTGTAAGCTGCTTCCAGGAGGCACAGTAGGGCCAGGCCCAAAGTTGAATGGAGTATATTTACTGAGCAACGTGCTCTCCCTGCTGCCACACTGCGACTTAAAAGACTGGAAATTTCCCAGAATAAGACTGATTTTGTTAGAGACATTTTGGGTTTGTTTGTATTTTTTAGGGTATTAGACACACTGTCTGGAAATACTTAAAATTCTAAGTTCTCATCTTAAACTGGAAGGGATCTATGGAGTCATAAATGGGGGTCCTACTTCATGGTTGGGGAAGTGGCTGCAGAGTTGTTGTAAGCTGCTGAAATTCACCTAGAAAGCTGGCACCTGCACAGCAGTCTCACCTCTAGCTCTCTGCCCTCAAGAAACTCATAACCGTGTGCATGAGGAGACATGGAGAAAGAGGTTGATTGGAGCACTGTTTACAATAGCAAAAATGTAAAAATGAGATCTTAGTCTTTCTGAGCTGGAGAATGGACACACTGGGACTTGTACAAGCAATAGAACACAGCAGTTAAAGTAATGAGCAACATTTCTAGGCAACACTATGGATAAATCTTAAAAAACACAGAGTGGAGTGGAAAAGGCAATTTGTAAGATGCTATGTGCGGGATGCTGTTCGTGCTTATTAAAAAAACACAAAACAACAGTATATATATTTTTATGGATGCTGTAAGTATAGTAACAGATACAAAAATGTGCAGGCTGCCTGGAGTAGAAGGTGGGGGGAAGAGATGGGAAACTTCTCAGTATTTGTAACATTTTCTTTCTTTGAGGAAGAGAGCCTACCAGTAGGGAGGAGTTCTAAAGAAAAGTGTCCAAATATTCACATCTGTTCAATCATCACAGTTGATTAATTGCATGTGGGTATGTGGGTGTGTTTGTGTATTATTTTCAGTATATTTGAAACAGTTTATGAATAAAGTGAAACCAAAAAAAGCAAAATGAAGCCCCTCTTTGCCCTCATCTCCTACTACCTGCAGATAAAACAGAACAAAAAACCTCTTATGGCCTGATTTCCCTTAGATATATTCTGGACACCAAAGCCCAGCCGGGGTAACCTCCCTTCCAGGGAGATGAGAGGCGGGGTGGAGGGTCCACACCAGGCCTGGGCAGAGGGGCATTGCTCTTAATAAAGGCCCTTCTGTCTGCTTGGATGGCTAGAAGCTTTCCTCCTGGCATGGGTGGAACCCTGCAATAACTCTGGGTAGTAGAGGGGGCTTATCTGTCAGTTGCCCCTTACTCTCCCAGGGAAGGAACAGTAGGTAAACAAGGGGTCTCAGATACACAGGGAGTATCCAGGCATTGCATCCACGTAGGGAACTATTATGCACTGATTTTGAAAACTTTAAATTTCAAATTAGCAGGATTAGGACCTCCATGGTGGTGCAAGGGGTTAAGACACAACCTATGAAGCTATCTGCAGCCACTGCAGCACGAGTTTGATCCCCAGCCAGGGAGCTACCCACATGGCACAGCAGACCTCTCCTGACCGGCCCACTGCTCCCTTCAGCAGTGTATTTCAGTCAAACTGCTCCCCACTCTGTCTCTGGTGAATCCTCTCCTCCCCTCACACTTCTGGCCTGTACCCCAGTTGTTGTATGCATAAATAAATAAATCTTTAGGAAAAAAAACCAAATTAGCAGGATTAGTACATATTTCTCTCTTCTTTCCCTTACATCTTAAATAGGGTATACTTGAAAAATACACTTGAATATACTTGAAATATATACTTGAAAAATAATGTGAAGAGTGACTCCGAGAGAAAGTATCCGCATGTCTATTTAGAATCTTCTTTCCCTGCCAGAATGCATGCCACGTGAGGTTGCACAGGACACCTGTCCCTATGACAACCTCCAGTCCAGCCCAGCACCTGTAGAAAGTTAGCACTTAGTTAGGATAAGCAGAACCAACGTGGATGGGGTCCCCA